CAGTATTTTATTTTGCTAGAAGGAAAAATGAGTCTGTGAATAAAATTAGTTACTTTTTAAAATTATTTTATTTTTCACTTTTCTCTATTTAAAAAAGGAAAACCAGATAAGTAAGAAATGTTACTCAAAGTGTCAATTTCAGAAGCAAGCAGAAGGGTTATGGGGATATTCTCTAAATCTCAACAAGCTATTTAGCAAATCAGACCAAATGGTCAGGCTGTCCTGGGTGAGCACATAAGAGTTAGTGTTGGATTGAATGAACCTGGAACATAACACATGTTCACCAATGTAATCAAGGAGAGCTTTCATTTGAAAATGAACACATTGGAAAAGACTTCCAACCCTACTGTCCAGGTCACAAGGAGGAACTGTAGGGGCTGTTAAGAGTAGATTAGCACATTTTATTTTTAAAAATTTGTTAAAGATTTTATTTATTTATTTTGTAGAGAACAAGGGAAGGGAGGGATTAAGACAGACAGGGAAACATTGATGTGAGAAAGAAGCATCCATCAGCTGCCTCTCACATACACACCAACCGGAGACCAACTCATAACCCAGGCATGTGCCCCAACCAGCCACCTTCACCTTATGGGACAATGCTCAACCAACTGAGCCACATCAGTCAGAACTAGATCAGTACATTTTATGGAATTTCACTGAGGAATGAAATTATTTAACATGACCAAATATACTTTACACACACCCCAATCCTTTCCACGAACAATGACTCCAGATTATGCATTTTATGTCCCTGTCCCTATATCTGCATTTTCCATGTGGACAAGTATGACCTGGCAAACAGTACATCATTCTGGTCACCTGACACAGAATCAGCACTGAGAACACTGCATAACATGTTATAGACCTAGCCTCCCAGGTGGAAAAAAGCCTGATATCAGGACATGGCTCCTGTGGTGTAGTCACAATGCTTTTATTTTTTTAAGGTTTATTTTATTCTCATTTAAGAGAAATGGGAGGGGAAAGAATGAAACATCTATTCAAGAGAGTAATTCCAATAGGCTGCCCCAATTGGGATCAAGCCAGGATCAAACCAGTATCAAGCCTGAAACTTGAGCATATGCCCTGACTGAGAATTGAAATGGGCGACTTTTCAGTAACAGGACAACGCTCCAGCCAACTGAGCCATACAAGCCAGGGCAGATCACAAGGCTTTTAGAAATGAATCTGTTATAATCAGTAAGTTTACCAAATTACTTGTTAGTCACACCCAAAGGGAGATATTGAGGCTAAGTCTTGAAAAACCTCCATCTGACACAGGGGTCAGGCTTTTTTATATATAAAAGCAATTATCATGAATGATGACTAATTCACCAGCATTGTTCTGAGATTAATAATTACATTCACAAAATGATAACATTAAAACTTTTAAAATTTAGAAACCTTAAAGGAAACATCATATCGCACATGCCTAAATTCTGGGTTCAATTCTTGGTCAGGATGCATGTGGGAGGCAGCCAATCAATGTTTCTCTCTCTTCTTCTCTTTCTAAAAATTAATAAATGTATCCTAAGATGAGGATTAAAATAATAACAACAACAACAATACAAGGGTAATTCTATGTAAAACAGGATGGTAACAAGTTTCATAAAATATATATAAGTGAGACTTTGGGCTAATATTGCAACAGGTAACATGATTTATGCTCTTGTGGACAGACCAGTCTTCCACTAGGATTGATAATAACCCCTTATCTTCTAAGAGCAACAGGTAAATTTAGAAAGGATTCTGTTGAGTAGAGCTAAGTGTAAAACTACAGAGATATAGAAATCTCAGGCTTAATAAGAGTGTAAATATGGCAAATTTTTTACATGACAGATTATGTGGTTTATAGTTTTCTGCCCCTGTTCCTCCAAAGTCCAGTTACAGAAAAACATCCTTCTCTGAGAGTGTATGACCCTCCTTGATCAAGTCACTCTACCAAGGCTCTCATACGTATTGCAAACTTGATGCCACCACTTGCAGGAGAGGAAATATTTCCATTTTAAGACTGAGGAGATGGAGCTCCCATTTGTAAGTCATTACTGGGTTCAGAGTTAGTTGTATCTGCTTCAAAGCCTGGGTCTCTTCTACATTGACAACTCAGGTTTTACACACCATTGTTATGTGCATGGTTTCATTTGAATGTGACCATGAAAAGACAGTGATAGTCAGCCCTTTCCACTTAATTGCCCCAACCCCTTGCCTTACACCCCATCCCTCCATCTGTTTCTGAACCAAGCCAAGCTTGACACTTCCCTGGAAGTTTTTCAACACTGCAGCTGCTTTGTCATGCATACATTCTGAGCCATGGCTTTTCTCTGTTCTCACCCATCAGTAAGATTCTATCATTTTCAAATGTTCTGCAAATGTATTGAAATCTCCATTTCCCTTGTGACCTTCCATGGATGAATGTCTTCCTTTTTGTGTACCTTGAATATCTCTATGGTTTGGGGAGGGCCCAAACTGCAGAGTTTGCAGGTTCAAGTTCAGCTCAAGGTCTGACTACAGAAGCCTGAAAGGATATGCAAAAAGCCTCCAGCATTGACTCCTGTTTTTGGTAACTGTGTCTTCAGAAAGAACCTGACATATCTCTTCTGGACTTATTTGAGCTTCACCAAACTGTGATCTTAGAAGACATTTCTGTTCTGTCTCATGCAAGACAGGCATTTCTCAGCTACTTAATGATGCTTAAGTACCTCAGTGTTTTAACCATAGAACGGTTCTTTTAACACACCAAGTCTATGGCTCTCCATCACCTGACCTTTTCACAACTGTTCCATTATCACACAATTTGAAAGTTTATCAACAGGAAAGATGTTATAGCTCCTCTCAAGATCCTCAAATAATATTGGATGCAAAGGAGAAAGAGTAGCTCAGAGACCAAAAAGGAAATGTCAAACTGTTGTCTGACCTGAGCTGGTTTAGCTGAACCTAACAGGGAGCCAGAGTTTGGCTTTAAGGTCTGACTTTGCCTCTTTCCCACAGTGACCTGGAACAAGGTGTAAACACATCTCAGTCTCAGGTTCTCACCTGTGAAGTGGTGATTATCATGGTCTGTGCAGCACTGAATTATGAGGTTGGGTGAGAACATGTATGTATGCCTAGCATGTAATAAAAACGGCAAAAAGAGTTGTCACTAAAAAAATATTTTACAACCTGATATTTTTTAAATTGAGTCACTTTCTGCATCATAATTTTAGGTGACTTCATGATTCCTGCAGGTACCGTGTCAGTAATAGAATAAAATATTTAGGAGAGGCTATAAATGAGGATGTTTGTCTACTTTGTAGACTCTGCAGTGTGAGGAGGAAAGAAATTCACTGACTGAAGAGGCACTAATCCTGGGTCTGACACCACTTAGGAGCACAGGTACCCAAAACATGAGTGCTTTGAACCAGGTGAATTCCCAGGTATCTTTTAGCTCAAAAATTACTCAGGCACCATCAGCAGTGATTTCATTGCTAACCACCATATGAATGGCCCTGGAGGTCTGTAAAGATTAGTCTGGAGAGAGTAAATTGTCTTCTGGGCCCATATCCCCTGTCATCCCAGAGAACCAACGATTATTATATACCTGGCACATATGTGTTAAGGAGGTGAGGGAGGGGATAGGAGACACACTACCCTCTCCTGACCCTGATATAGGCAGTGTTCTCACTTCATTTCCTGAACAACACTATGAGAACTGGTGTTACTGGTCCATCTTAGAAATAGGGCCATTTAAATAATGAGTTGAAATAAACCAGAATCCAATCTCTATAGCTCTTTGCTATATAAGATAACAATACTCAGTATACCCTTGTGCACATCCACACACACACCATTGACATTGGTTGGCCATCAACATTGGCCCAATAGTCATCTGCAGATTGGGAATGTTGGAAGTTCATGTCTACATTACAGGGGTGATGTCACAACAGTGAAATATCTGCTAGGGATTATTAAGCACTGGCAACTGCCCTCTCGGGTAATAGCTTTTGAGCCCTACAAAGGCAGTAAAGATAAGCACGTCCATTTGGAATATCATTTTCAAGAGAGAAGGAGTCTAAAATTCCATAATGTCTACATTTGGCTCTACTGTTTGGAAGGTGAAGAAACTTTATAGTCATGTGCATTTTGTAAGGAGGTAATTTCCTGCTTCAAAACTTCCTTAGCTAGACTTTTCATTGGGGCAAACTGCAAAGCCCCACTGTGAAGGAGACTCTTTCCCAGCAAAGAGTATATCCTTGCACAGGAAGTCAGTCAACCATGTAGCCTGATTCCAGGACATGCCAGTGAAAGGTGTTATTTCCAAGCCCAGATTGTGGCAGTAATTGAGTCCCATCAATTACTCTAGAGGACTTCTCTAGAAGGACTTTGATTTACTCATTGGCTGTCCTTTAGCTCTTTAGACCAACACCTCATTCTTTCACTTAAACATCTTCACTTCTCTCTCATCTTAAAAAAACAACAAATACCTAAACTGAAAGTGAGCCATCCCCTTGACTGCTGGGTGTTCATACTATTATTTTCCCCTTCCTTTAAGGCTGGCTTGTAGTTTGAACTCTGTTTGTTAAAACTCTACTTCTCACTCGTTTTAAATACACAGGCACCAGGTTTATGTCTCTTTTCTCCCCCTTCCACAAAGTCCAAAGAAGGTGTCCTCCCTGCATTCCCAGGTAACTTTTGAGTGGCTGTATCCTGTGGACACTTCATTGTCTGCCTGTACTCCTCCCTGGCCTCTGATGCTCCAGCACCTTCTTCCTAGAACTCTAGTACTTCCCAGAATTCTCTGCTCTAGTTTTCCTACTACTACTCAGTCCTTCTCAGGTTCCATCAAAGTTCTTAAATGTTGGGATTCCCCGGAGTTCTCAGGACAGAACTCTACTCACACTAGGCTATAATTCCCAACAATGATGACTTCACCTAAAACCACCCCTCCTGGCACCCCCACTGGTGTCTAGTCCACGGTTGGCTCAGGACTAGGTCTTGGTGGGCTACTAGGCATCACCTCTGGATAGTTCCCAGACACACTGACCTCATCGTATCTCAAACCTGCCCCCACAGCACTGCTCCCAGACCAATGCTCTCTTCCAGCTAATGATTCCACAACCTGAGACTTCTGTCACCCTCAAACACTAAGCAGCACAGGTGAGGGCTCAGAAGAAGAATCCAGAGTGTGCTTCTCAGGTCCCTCATTTGGTAGCCATGTCATAGGGAAGATATTACCTATTGTCACCATGGTGGTATTGTCATGATTAAATAAAATAACTTGTGTAAAGCACCTTACTATGTAAGCATTTACCACTCTTTCTGTGTAATCCATATTCCACATAGACCACAATGCCCCTTCTGATTACAGGAATTTGCATCTCCTGTCAACCCTAACTGCCATACTCCACATCTTCAGTGTCAGGACTTCATGCCCAACCTTGGCCTGCCATCTGTGCACAGGCCCAGACTAACATCCTCCTGCCTGGAGACACTTTCCACTGCTCAGCTGTCTGCCTGGATGGCTACTCATCCTGAAGGTTTCAGCTTGACCATCTTTCCTTGGGAAGTTTGGTCCAAGACAGGTTGACAGCTGATTCTGCACCCCCAAACTACCCCATCATTTCTTTGACAGAGTGTGTGCACATCATTGCAATTTATTCTAGTGGATTCTGTACTCAGTCCTTCCCTCAAACTGGACCCTCTGTGAAGGAAGTTCTGTGTCTCTGTCACTTCTTGACCTCAGTGCTTAGACTGTCCCAGGTACTAAGCCCATGAGTGAACAAGCATTAGGATCCCAGCAGGGCTCACATGGGTAAGGTATCAATAAAACATGAATCAGGAGTCCTAGTGATAAGGTGGGGTGGGTGGGGTGGCACAACTACAAAGTTCACCATCTGGTCTCACAGGAAAAGAAAAATACAGAATCTTTTTTTTAATAAATAAATATTAAGTATTTAATAAAATATATTTAACTTTTTAAAATTATTTTTAAATATTTTAAATTTTGAATCCTTGATGCTGGGCTTCATCCTAGATTTAAATGCTCAGTTTTCAAAGTCAAATAAAATGCCCTGAGTCTGCATTTTTCAACTTTTTTAGCCCATTTTCCATCCATCTTGATAAAGCAGACACTTTATACTCTCACCCCCATACCACCCATGTGACAGTTACTTACAGAAGTCATCTTCTCATAATGTTAATCAGTTATTATAACACTGGATATGGTTTTTCCAACTCTGGCATCCCAGAGAGTCAGGTATTTGCTCACCCACATCTCTCACATCCCAGAGTTCAAAATGAAGAGACACATATTTCCCTAACCAAAGCAATAGGGCCTGATGGTTTTACCAGTGAGTAGGGCGCATCTTACTTGGATGCAGGTTGTTGTTTTTTTTTCAGAGTTTCCTGTTATGGCTCTTTTTCCACATTTTTTTATTGTTGTTCAACTACAGTTGTCTCCATTTTCCCCCCACCACTACCCTCTACCCCAGACATCCCCACTTCCCACCCTTGACCCTACCACCCTTTGGTTTTGTCCATGTGTCCTTTATACCTAATCAACAAAACAAACAAGCAAGAAAAATATAACCAGAGACATTGAAATTAAGAACAAACTGACGGTAACTAGAGGGGAGGTGGGAGAGGGTAACGGGGAAAATGGAGAAGGGTTTTCAGGATGCAGTTATTTTCCTAACAGCCAAACCTTCTTCTACACCAGGTGCAGTTACATGATCAGCAGTGTGGTTCTACTGGTGAATGGCACCTTGCAGAAAAAGTCTGTAAAGGAAGTTCTAAGGAAGTGTCACCCACTGGGCCAATTCACAGAAATGGAAGCAGTCAACATCGCAGAGATGCCTTCTGACCTCTTCATTGCAGTCCTGGTGGAAACACCCTTAGGTATGAATGTGGATATGATGCTATTGCTGCCTTTGAGTGCTGTCACTCTCATTAGGAAATGCACACCCAAATCAGTTTTTCCCATGTACTCATGTGTCATTCTATAGGAGTTGCCAGAAGTGGAAGGGACATAAAGAAACCATCTAGTCCAGCCCCCTCATTTCTCAGATCAAGACAAATGAAGTTATTGGGTTAGCCAAAAAGTCCTTTGGCTTTTTTTCCATGAAATAAAAGACAGATTTTCCACTTTCACCAATAATTTTATTGATTTAGACATTTTGACTATGTCGGGTATCTCCCACGTGGTATAACATTGGTTGTTCTTAATGTAATGTCTGAATTTGATCACTATCAACTTCAACTGGTCTGTCCAACTGTGCTGCATCGTACAGCAAAAAAACGCCCAGCACAAAACTTCACAAACCGTTTTTGACATGTTCAATCAGTCACAGCACCTTCTCCCTATACTGCATAAATCTTTTTATTTTTGCATTTCAGTTCCATTTTTACCTTTCTTGAAATAATAAAGCATAATATGGAGAAACATGTATTTTCTTCCATCTTTAATATTAAAATAGGTACACAAAAATTCACGAATTTTGATATTTTTTAAATCCATGCTTGTATGACAGCTGTCACAATAGAGTGTAACCAAATTGTTTTGAACAAAGTTGAAGAAAACTATGCACTACCAGAGCCACCTTATGAAAAAAACAAACTTTTTGATCAAGCCAATATCTGCCAGGGTCACCTACAAACCATGTGTAGCTAAGAAGGAGCTGAGACTCATCTCCCAAACTCCAAACCCTTGTACTTTGTACTAGACTACAATAAATAAATGATAGAACTTGTAATTTTTCAAAACATTAATTTTGTAGCTGTTTTTAGGATTAATGCCTTCTCCTTTTATTTTAAATTATAGGAAACATTTTGTTTTGGAAAGTGTGGGAATGCCATTTTTCTGAGATGCTCAGGAACATCTTTCAAATGGCCTGAAGTAGCACTCAAAATGTTAATGGGACAATTTTGTAAACATTAGCATTAGGAAATTTTGGATAGTAGCAGTGCACTGTTGATCATTTGTCAAAATACTTGCCATTTGGGATAATAAAAATAGAAAAAAAATGTGTCATCAAGTGTCAAATGCTAAGGGTACAAGTAACAGAGGAAGGAGGATGGGTCTGGAATCAGACATATGTGAACACAAAGCTGGGCTCTGCCTGGTCCCAACAGAATGACATGGGGAAATTCAGTTTCCCTTATTTCCCCCATTTTAGAGTTTTGAAAACAAAAGAAGACACTAAGTACAACTCAAAATTTGGCACACAGTTAGGTCACAAATGTTAAGAATTTCTATTTGATAATGAGGAGACTTCGGAAAGTGAGCCTTGAAGTGAACAGTTTCAAGCATTGTGGAGATTAACTCGTTAAAGTGTATCTTGTGTGTAGCGTAAGGCACACACATAGTAAATGCCTCATAAACAGTCAGTCCTATTGCCATTATTACTATTAGGTTGATTGCATCTATGGATTGAAACTCCACTGTCCAATGTTCACTAGTGAGCATGGGGTGGTGAATTCGAGACATTTCCTACTGTTTATAATCATGCTTCTAATTAACTTATTTTATACGATGACTTCTCAGTTCCATTCTTTCAAGACTGCATGTCCGAAAATACATTAGATGAACTGAATATTGAAATACTGCACAATAAACTGTACAAGGTAACTGTTTTCCTAAATAGTATGTTTTTCTTTATTACATAATACATCATAACCAGAGTTTTTATTATAAGTGACTTTGCCCATTAGCCAAGTCCTGCAACTATGAAATGAGGCATATTTAGAGTGTATATACATGTCAGCTTTCCCAACCAGAAGATTGTTGAGAGGAAGTAGCGCCTTATTTTTCTCTGTATCCCCACCTCTTTGCCTGAAACATAAAAGGTGTCAATTGATGGATAAATTTGAAAACAACCAGCATTTATAGTAAACCTCTTGCTGTATAGAGTTTGTCTCTGTCCTTCATGCTGTGAAAGAGTCCCTGTCCATACAATGTTAATCTACTGACAGTGGACAGCATATCAAGACGATAAACTGCACATGACATTATCTGTACCACTTTTCATGGACTGGCCAGCTGTTTGTCTGAACTGTGCTGCCATCATCTGAGAATCTCTGTGTAATAGAGGCAGAGTGAATTTTGTCTTTTCACTTGTACACCATAGTGTCCTTGGTCATTCTCACAGAGTAGCTGAATATATGTAGACCATGCCATAAATATAGCATGGTATGCTGAAACATGGTCCTCTTAAAAGCATTACATGTTAAAGAGATGTATGGCCTTGCAAGAGGCATCCTGAATATAGCTAACAGAAGGCACCATTCAAAGTAATTTGTATGCATTAACTCACTCTATCCATCCAGCAAAACTGTGCTATCTCCATTCCTCAGATGAGAAAATGGAGACATGAAGGTGAGGTGAATAGTTGAAGTCAGTTCACTAGTGAGTAGTAGTATTGGGACTCAAGCACAGAGAGGCTGACAGCAGCCCAGATACTGCCTTTCCATAGTACCATGCTCAAAGTGACCTCAAATGCATCTCCTGAAAGATGAAATGTATACACTGGACTAAATCGAGTGTTATTTATTGAGCTTGTAAAAGAGTTTGGGACTCTTGTTAGAATAGCAAAAACTAACCCTATGAGATTTCACGACCCATTTAAAAAAGTGCTTGTAAGTAATATAAGATCTGATAAATGCAATTTTGTTTTTCATGAAGTTCTTTTTCATATTGTGCAATGTACTTTAATAAAAAAATTTCCTCCAAATTTTTTCTAAAATATGTCTGTATGAGAGAAGTGATTCAACTTCCTTAAATGCATTAAATAAGCCATGTATTTTCCAAAAGGAACATATATTCATCATATTGTTTTATGATCTTTATTCTTTTTAAGTCTTACCTGGAGGCATTCTATAAATTCTATAAGAATCATGGTGATGTCACAGCAGAAATTATGTGTCCCATTCTTGAGGTAAGAAAGAGTCCTTGAAATTTTTATGTCAAATAATGTGCTTACACATGTTTAATTTATATCATCCTACTAATATTTCTTTTTCTTAGAAGCTCCTTTAGCTAAAATAAAATAAGCAATATATTTTATTATGTGTATGTCATTTGATACCTTCAGTTATGAGTAATATTTTCCAATTTTACTACATCAGAGAGTTATTTGGAATTAGAAAAGAATAATGCTTATGAAAGTTTGAACATGATTAATTTGCTGTATAGTATGAAGAAAAATCATAATTAGTTAAAAGTTTAATAAACTGTGCTGAGATGTCCAAGTTGGCTGAGGAGTAAGTGGAAGCTACACTAACCTCCTATGAGGACCAAACTGGAATTACAACTAAATTGCAGAAAAATCATCCTGAATAACCAACTGAACACTAGTTGGAGAGAAACTTTATAATCATGGACAGATGAGAGAAGCCACATCAGCACAATGATATTGGTAGGGAGTGCAGAGGAGGTGTAAGAGGATTGTCTGGGCTTCCATGGGCAAGACAGCAGATGAAGTGCTGGAGAGATATTTCAGCAGCCAGGGGGTACCTCCTGAGAAGGGCGGGGTCTAGACCCCAAGCTGAGATGCCCAGCCTACAGCACCAGAACTGTGAAAAGCAGTGGGGTTTCTGTCTGCCAGGGAGAGATGTATGGAGTTGCAGAGTCTTTTAAAGGGCCAGTGCATGAAATTCCATTTGCGGCCTCTTATCCTGGCTTATGGCAGAAGGAGGGCAGAGTGGACTAGAGATGTGTGAGGAGAGTCTGGGTCTGGTGGCTCTGGGGAGAGAACTGAAGGAATAGCCACCAGAATCCATGTGCTAAGTCATTCCCCATACTGCATAGGCCATCTTTATAAGGTGGAGCACTCCTCTCCAAATGGCATCAGCCTGATGAGAAGCAATAGCCCTGGCCACAGGAATGTCTCTGCTCCACCTTCTGATGCTAAAGCCCAGTTTCTGAAGAGTATAGCTGGAAGACATTCACTGATTAATCCTACAAAAAGCCTGCAGGCCGAGGCAGATTTCTGGAACCTCTGAGAATTCAGCTGACCCTCCCCCAGGCATGGTGCTGATAAAACCTAGCTTGATATGCAGACTGGTACTTTCTGCACACAAATATGCCCAGCAGAGAGAGCCACACATTATGGATCACTGATAGCTCCAAACAGGGTGCTCAGGGCCAGTCACAGGCAGGGTTTGACTTAGTTCTACAACACAGTCTTGCATAGAAACAGACACAAAGAATCAGCCAAAATGGGTAAATAAAGAAACAGGTTCCAAGAAAGTAAAAGAGGTATTTCTAGAAGAACTAGATGAAATGGAAGCAAGCAATTTATCAGATAGAGAGTTTGGAGTAATGATTATAAGGATACTCAACAGCATGAAAAAAGACATAGAAACCATTAAAAAGGGATCAGTCAAAAATAAAGAATGCAATATCTGAAATAAATACTACACTGGAAGAAATAAACAGTAGGTTATATGAGGCAGAGGATCAAATCAGTGATTTGGAAGGCAAGATAGAAAAAAATAATCAGGCAAAGCAAGTAAAAAGAAAAAATAATTTAAATAAACAGGAGAGCTGAATAGACATGAGGAGAGCTTAAGAAACATTTTGGACAACATTAAGTGTAACAACATCTGCATCATGGGCATACCAGGCAGACAAGTGAACAAGCAAGGGATTGAAAACCTATCAGAAGAAATATTGATGGAAAACTTCCCTAATCTGATGAAGGGACAAGACAAAATTCCAGGAAACTAAGAAAGTCTGAAACAAGTTGGACCCAATGAGGCCTACACCAAGACACATCATAATTAAATTGGCAGGGCTTAAAGACAAGGAGAGAATGCTAAAAGCTGCAAGAGAAAAGCAGACATTGCATACAAGGAGCCCAATTAGACAGAAGATTACTCAACAGAAGCATTTCAGGCCAGAAGAGAGTGGCATGAAATATTCAAGGTAATGAAAAGAAAGGACCTACAACCAAGGCTACTTTACCTGGCAAGGCAATAATTTAAAATCAAAGATGAAATAAGGAGTTTCCTAGACAAGAAAAAGTTAAAGGACATTGTTAACAACAAATCAGTAGTAGTGTAACAAACATTAAAGGGCTTGCTTTAAGTGGAAGAAGAAGAAAAACAGAAAGAAAAAAAGAGAGGAAAGCAGTCTAACAATAAAATGGCACTACATATGTATCCATCAATAATCACCTTAAATTTTAATGGCTTAAATGCTCTAGCCAAAATAAAGAGGATAGCTGAATGAATGAGAAAACAAGACCCTTATATATGCTGCTTCCAAAGAGAACCATCTCAGATTGAAAGATTCACACAGACTAAAAGTAAAGGGATGTAAAAAGATATTTCATGCAAATGGAGAGGGAACAGAAGCTGGGATAACAATACTTATACTTAACAAAGTAGACTTTAAAACCAAGGCTATAGTAAGAGACAAAGAAGGACACCCCATAATGATAAAGGGAATGATCCAACAAGAAGATATAACCCTAGTAAACATTTACATACCCAACATAGGAGCACCTAAATATGTAAAGCAAACCTCAGTGGACATAAAGGGAGAGATGCACAGAAATACAGTCACAGCTGGGGTTTTGAACACCCCTTTGACTTCGATGGATGGATTTTTCTATCCATTGAAAATCAACAAGAAGACAGTGGCCTTCAATGACACACTATATTAAATGGATTTAATTGATAGCTTCAGAGCATTTCACACAAAAGGAGCAGAACATACACATGGAACATTTTCTAGGATAGACCACATGTCAGGACACAAAGAAAGTCTCAATAAATTTGAGAAGATTCAAATATACAAGCACCTTCTCTAGCCACAATGATATGAAACTAGAAATCAATCATAAGAAGAACATTGAAAGATACACAAAGACCTGGCAGCTAAATAATATGTTATTAAACAGTGAATGGGTCAACAACAAAATCGAGAAGAAATCAAATGATACCTTGAAGCAAATGCTTCCTTTTGTTTGAGAGAGGAAGCAAGCACATACAATGGGTTAAACATATTTTATTCAATAAATGGCATTGGGAAAAATAGATATGTGCAGAAAAATGAAACTAGACCACCTTCTTATACCACACAGAAGAATAAATTCAAAATGGATTAAAGACTTAAATGTTAGACCAGAAACAATAATAATCCTAGAAGAAAACATAGCAAAATATTGGATTTAGCTCATAGCAATATTTTATCAGATATATCTCCCCAGGAAAAGGAAACAGAAGAAAAACAATAAACAAATGGGACTATAGCTATTTTGTGACTTTGGCCAAGATGGAGGCGTAGGTAAACACACTGTGTCTCCTCACACAGCTAAAAGAAGGAAAACAATAAATTTAAAAAACAAAAAACAACCAGAACTGAAAGAAAATCTAACTGTATGGAAGTCCGACAGTCTAGGAGTTAAAGAAGCAACATTAATCCAGACTGGTAGGAAGGGTGGAGACAGGCAGCCAGGTGGAAAAGACTTGCAGCAAGGCAGCAGCTGGTAGACAGGGCAGTCCCACATTCGAGTGCAGATAAACCAGAAGGAACAAATAGGGAGCAAGACAGACTGTGCATCCTGGGGTTCCAGTACAAGGAAATAAAGCCTCAAAGCCTCTGACCAAAAACACCTGTGGGGGTTGAGTCGGCAGTAGGTGAAACTCCCAGCCTCACAGGAGAGTTTATTGGAGAGACCCATAGGGTCCTAGAACATACACAAGCCCAGCCACCTGGGAATCAGCACCAGAAGGGACCAATTTGCTTGTGGGTAGTAGGGGAAGTGACTGAAAACTGGCAGAGAGTGGAACAAGCTGCACTGTGCCCTCTCAGACCCCTCCCCTACATACAGCATCACAAGACAGCCACATGGGTCGCCCTGCCCTGGTGAACACCTAAGGCTCTGTCCCTTACTATGGAACAGGTACATCAAGACCAAAAAAAAAAAAATGGCCCAAATGAAAGAACAGTTCAAGGCTCCAGGAAAAAATACAACTAAGTGATGAAGAGATAACCAACCTATCAGATACACAGTTCAAAACACTGGTTATCAGGATGCTCCAGGAACCCACTAAGTACTTCAACAGCATAAAAAACTTCAACAGCATAAAAAAACTCAGGAAGGTTGCATTATGTGAAATAAAGAAAAATCTATAGGGAACCAACAGTGACAGGAAGGAAACCAGGACTCAAATTAATGGTTTGGAGCACAAGGAAGAAAGAAACATTCAACCAGAAGAGAATGAAGAAACAAGATTTAAAAAAATGAAGAGAGGCTTAGGAACCTCCAGAATATCTTTAAACATTCCAACATCCAAACCATAGGGGTGCCAGAAGGAGAAGAGGAAGAGCAAAAAATTGAAAGCTTATTTGAACAAATAATGAAAGAGGACTTCCCCAATCTGGCAAAGGAAATAGGCTTCTAGGAAGTCCAAGAAGCTCATAGAGTCCCAAAGAAGTTGGAGCCAAGGAGGAACACACCAAGGCACATCATACTTACGTTAGCCAAGATTAAAGATAAGGAGAGAATCTTAAAAGCAGCAAGAGGAAAGGAGACAGTTACCTACAAAAGAGTTCCCATTAGACAATCAGCTGATTTCTCAAAAGAAACCTTGCAGACAAGAAGGGGCTGGAAAGAAGTATTCAAACTGATGAATGGCAAGAACCTACACACATGATTAGTCTAACCAGCAAAGCTATCATTTATAATAGAAGTGCAGATGAAGTGATGAAGATAAGATTAGATAAGATCAAGTTAAATGAGTTCACCATCACCAAGCCCTTATTATATGAAATGTTCAAGAGACTTATCTAAGAAAAAGAAGATCAAAAATATGAACAGTAAAATGATAGTCAACTCATATATATCAATATCTAAACCTAAAAAACTGAAAAGGAAACTAAGCAAACAACTAGAACAGGAACAGAATCACAGAAATGGAGATCACATGGAGTGTTAACAGTTAGGGAGTGGGAGGAGAACAGGGGGGAAAAAGTTACAGAGAGTAAGTAACATAAATGGTAGGTAGAAAATAGACGAGGGTGGTTAAGAATAGTATAGGAAATGTAGAAGCCAAAGAACTTATATGTACAAGCCATGGACATGAACTAAACAGGGGGAATGCAGGTGGGAGCTGGTGTGCAGGGCCAAGGGGAATAAAGGGGGGAAATGGGACAATTGTAATAGCATAATCAATATAATATATTAAGAAATGGGACTACATTAAACTAAAAGGTTTTTGCACAGCAAAGGAAATCAACAAAATAAAAAGACAACCCACAGAATGAGAGAACATATTCACCGATACATCTGATAAGAGGTTAATATCCAACATTAATAAAGAACTTACAAAACTCAAACAAAAAAAAAACCCAGTTAAAAAATGGGCAAAGGACCTGAATAGACACTTCTTCAAAGGGAACATACAGATGTCCAATAGGCATATGAAAAGATGCTCAACATCACTAATTATCAGACAAAGGCAAATTAAAACCACAATAAGAAATCATCTCACACCTATCAGAATGGCTATCATCAATAAATCTGCAAACAACAAATGCTGGTGATGATGTGGAGGGTGTTGTAAGGGGACTAAATGTTAATGGGAAAAATACAATAAAAAATTAATAAACTGTGGTAATTACTGCATGGTCAGAACTCATAAGATCACCCAGCTTCCCTCCTAGTAGAGAAGCCACTGAAAACTCACAAGCTACCATCAAAGTCCATAATGGGCTTTGTCCCCTGTGGAAATGCTAACAGAGGACACCCCAATCAGCCATTGAGCACCCCAGCACTGGGTAGAAAGTCTATGGTTAGGAGTTCACAGCTGGCTTCTACCCCTTGAACTGATGTTATTATACACTTAAATCCCTTTTATCATTACAGATTTTTATCTGTGTCCAGAGGTCTCTTGTCTCTGTTGTTCTCTGCAAATGCACAGGAAATTCAGGCATCAGAAGGATCTTGGGTATCTGGGCATAGCTGGCATTCAACGGTGTCTGTATCTGTAGATCTCTCTTCCTGGTTTCCTCAGCCATTTGTATTTAAAAATTAATGTATAGTTTAAAATAATATTGAATTATATATATACATATATTCTTCTGAGCTTACAAAAGCCCTATGAAATCAAGTTTGGTCCAAAGAATATCTTTAATCATTAGATTACCTGTTACAGTAACTTCATTGGTGGGTAGGTCCTTAAATATTTCAATGACTTCTGATTTCAAGAAAAGCCTAACAAGAACTACCATTTAGGGGAAAAAAAGAGGAAAAGAAAAACCTGAATAACTTCATCTGCATGTATTATAACCTAATGTTCTGAAACTGCATATGGGAAAATTAGTTCCCCTCAAAACAGGTAATCATTTAAATTTTAGTTAAATATACTTTGCTGCCCCCTGTTGAAACTCTTAAAGCCAAAGCAGCCCTTAAAGTAAAAAGTTGATCAGTGGAGAACTCCAAAAGATATTTTTTGTTCTTATTTATATCAGATAGAATGTGGACATTGATAAATAAATAACACTTTTTCATGGTATACTCAATCTCCGAAAGTATGTAAGCCTCTTTCAGATGTGCTGGTCACATGAATAACCTGGAGACTCCATGAAGGTCCATCCTTTTGTTTTCATAAATTTAACTACTAGCCACACTAGAAGAAGCCACATTATTCATGACTCAAAATATAATCTCTACATGACATAATTTCTATGATTTAGAAATGTTTCATATACTTCATACCAACAAAATGAGTGAAATAGGAGTTATGTTAAAACTAATGAAAGGTATACAGTGGCACTATTACTAACTAGTTAACACTTATTATGTGCCAGATACTGTCCTCAGTGCTTTCTATACATGAATTCACTTGAACTTCAAAATAGCATGAAGATATGAGTAGCTTAGTATCTATTTTTCAAAAGGAGCAACTGAGGCACAGAGAAGGCTATAATTTCCTGATGTCACACAGTGAGTGGTAGTCTCAAGATCTGAACTCAAGCTTCCTGGTCCCTGGCTCCAATTCCTACATATTTACCCATTATATTATATTATCTCTACATTAAATTCACAATTCTTACATAAAAGTAAGTGCTAAATTATAAGCAAGATCACATTGCATGTGTTATAAAAACATCAGAACTCAATAAGAATGATGTTTCTGTAAAATGGACGGCATAGTAATAAATGGGTCAGATTATATGTCTCATGTCACTGTCCTCCACCTCCATTGCCACCCACCCTCCCACCCACTTCTCCTTTGAGGTGTGAACTGGCAAGAACAGGTGACCAGACAGCCCAGCTCTATTAGGTGCAACTGACAGTAATTTTGAATAAGTCAACAGTACAGTGTTATCTTCTTGAACAACAACAAAAAAGTTGTATACTCATAATGAATAAGTATTTGTAGGCAAGCATGAAGGAGAAGACAGGACATCTGACATAACCTGTGCCCACAGATGCCAAACCCTTTGTAAAAGATACATGGCTTTAGAGAAATGAATCCTGCCCCATTTCATCTCCTCCATAATCAGATCCATAATGTGTGTCAAATGTCTGCTTAGGGATGGGCAAGAATAGTGCAGCCTTTTTATAATTCCAAATTATAGTTCTTTTCACTAAGAGCACAAATGTAAACATACAGATAGAGCCTCTAAACTAGAGGAATGCAGTAAGGTCAATATACAACAGAAAAAAGGGAAATTGCTGTATAATAGGGGTCAAAAGAAATCATAATCAGTTAGGGAGGAAACAGAAGGGCTTTTTATGAAAAAGGTGGTTTTTTATGGGACCTCAAAAGTGGGTAGGATTTCAACAAGTTGTTACAGAATGGAGTACGTGCATTTTAAACAAAGAGAAGACATGTTCTCAAAGCTAGCACCTAGTTCATGGGCTGTTCAGTAGTCCACTGCCTAAGTCATGGTCCTGTCCTCTTGGCAATGGACTGTGAAGCTCATCATGCTCAATGACCACTTCCCTGTCCCTCCCTTGACTCCCTACTTCCCCAGCTGGGAGCTGTGACTGTGCTTTGCAGGCCTAAAGAAAACTTCCACCCACCCCCTACCCTGTACAACACCAGTTCTCTCCAGAAAATCATCTGACCATGAGGAAGCACACTGAAGAACTCTGGAACAATTAACTCCACGGTTTCTCCCCCACCCTGATTTTTATTTAAAGGTTTCTTTTGTCATGAATCTCCCTCTCGCCCATCTTCTCTTACCCCTGAAAGGTCTAAAATTACCGACAGGACTATATCTATTCAGGTTCCAGAGGCAGCTGCCTTTGCTTCCAAATAAGGCAGCCCCCACCTCTGGCTTACTCATAATTTCCATGAGAGTACTCAGAAGGATCAGAAGAAACTAACTCACCTGGAAAAGGAAACACCTGTTCTCATGTAAGAGTTCTAGTAAAATCTGTGGCAAGTCTGCCTTTGTTATCAGTTAGTCAAAAGGAAGCTAATCAAAGGACATCTAAAGTAGCAGAATCATAGACCATTCTGTTGCATTCAGTAAACACTTAAGATCTTCCTACATGTCATGCACTGGATATTCAAAATTGAACAATGAACAAGTGATCCCACAAAGATTTTAGAGTATAGTAGGGAGAAAAATCCATGCAGATTTTAAAATAATATATTAAGTGCAGGGTGCCTCAGGTATAGAGAAGAGTTTCATAGCCCAAGGGCACCACAACAAATAGCCAAGAAAGTGGAGGAGCCCACAAAGGCCAGGCTTTGATGGGATGGTCAGAGTAGAACCAGGAGACAGAAGAAACATAGAGCTCAAAGGAATAGAAAGAAATTTCGAGAAAAACTGGTTCAATGAACTGGAAAAGCCTGACATGGGGCTCTTTGTTCAAGTGCCAAACCCCATCACCTTACAAACGAGGAAACAGAGGCCCTGAGAGGAAGATAACTTGTCCCAAGCCACATAATTCTAAGCTACAGAGTTAGAGTTATTGATATTTAACTGAGGACTTTAAAAAAAAGAAAGAAAACCAAAACCATGTGAATACAAATGGTAGTAGCACAAATTTTCATCATGTAAAAAAATTACTACTGGCACCAATGGTCAGAAAAGAATACAAACATGTATGGCATGCACTTTTTCTTCCAAACATCCCTCTAGGGATTTCCACTTACATTATCTTGTTCTGTCCCTAAATGGACCCCAACAAGTTGGTATTACTCCCATTTTTATGGAAGAGACATTTGAGACTGGTGGTGAGTAATTGAGTGGCTGGGAACTAAAGATTAGGGTTTCAGGAGCAATATAGGCCATTAACATTGCTGTATGATCCTTCTCTAGCTAACAGATTACTCCATTATGAGAAGAGACCAAGGGAATGTTAATAACATGTCTGCATTATAATTAGACATAGATCCAAAAGGAAAGCAAATCACTTTGAAAACGGTTTTATCTCTTTAGGGCTCTGTTTATGGCATTGAGTAGATGGATGGTTAGATCTCACTGATTTTATCTCTCGTTGATTCAGTTTGAGGCCAACAGACATGCTTTTATCATCACTCTTAACTCCTTTGGCACCGAATTAAGCAAAGATGACCGGCAGGCCCTCTACCCAACCTGTGGCAAGCTCAACCCTGAAGGGCTGCATCTGCTGGCCCAAGCGGATGACTTTGAACAGATGAAGAAAGTAGCAGACTACTATGGAGTATGTGATTCCAGGGTTCTGCAGACATCTGTGTGACTTCATCACATGTGTCTTAGAAGGCATATATCACATTGACACTTCTCATCTACAGCACTTGTAATATTTGTAAGGTGGAAAGCCATATCTCTTGCTGTGATGTCTCTCCCAGAGAAATATTTGTGATTCTAACCCAAGTGGGTGCTCTTTAAGGTTCCTGCCATGCAAGGACTGTTTAATTCTCTAAGAAGCAGTCCTTGGAGTACTTCTTTTGATGTGCTTGATAAAGCAAAGTCCCCAAGAGACTGGTGTTCTGGAAATGTGAGCACATGTCAGTGTTATATAAGATAGCCTGACCCAGCAATTCTTTGAAGCACCCAGTGGGTAAACAGGGTCAGGTACCAAATTTCTACTTGAAATATGAGGGAAGGTAAAGGTATGTCAGTTTGTGTACTTCCTGGGCTCAGTGGCCAGGAGCAGGAAATGGAAAGAGGTATGGAGCCTGAACCTTCTTTGCTCAAGTTATACTCCTTCTCCCGTCCCATTCTTTCTAACTTACGGATGCAACACACAGATCCTGCAGGTAACTTTCCAGAGCTGGAAGGACCCTCCTCTCATCTTTCCCTATGGATTCCCAAAGCCCTCTGGGAAAGATCAAAGTCAGCAAACAATGTTCAGACCTCTGTAACATCTCATGTCACTGCAAGAGGCTTTATAGCATAATATTAAAATGTGAGCTTCTTCCCAATTTCCACCTCTTCTACACTTGAACTTCCATGTGAATCCTATTAGTTGCCATCCCAAAGAGCCCATGAACTCATACTGATGGAGTGTTCATTGAGCCCTGGAGTGTGGCTAACTAACCCTAAGCCTGACTGTGGACCTGAGATCACATGCCACACACTGAGGAGGATCTTCTGCCCTCAGGCCTTAGAGTCTGCATCCCGCAATGGGCTGCAATCCCACCACTTTCATTCAGAAACCTTGATGTTTATAGTGTTCTGAATAGGTTTGTAAAATTGATGCATAATATTTTTATTTCTAGGAAAATATTATATATCGTATATATTTATAAGAAATGAAAATTTATTTTAAAATAGTCTATTTTCTTTTTAAGATATACAAGCCTTTGTTCGAGACTGTGGGTGATGGCAGTGGGGGAAAGTCTTTAGATGTGTTTTATGAGCATGAGGTATCCTAGTCATAGAAATACTATCAGCTTATACATACTTTTTTCTTGCTCTGGGTTTTAAATATCTTCTTACTTTGAGTGTCAGATCTCTGCTTTGGTAGGCCCTGTGGTTCTCATATTGTGGCTTCTTGTGGAATTGCCCAGTCCAGATAAATATGCAGAGTGGCACTCTGGGAATAATGCAGTGCTTCCATGATGATCAAGAGAAACAACACCAGGCACAGTTGTGATCAGAGATTGTCCTCATGGTGTACATCCTGGTAGGAGCACCTCACTCCAATCCATCCCTTCATGGATTTAACTAGGGTTATGATACATTTCAAGGCACAGTTATCACAGTTAGCAATTGTTCTTAAAGGAAATCCATAGAGTCCTGATCATTCTTTTCCTAAAAAGGAAGAAAGGTATTTAATTCATCTACAGTCAATTTCTGGGTAGTAAGCTGGTCAACAAAAGGACTTTTTTATTGTATTGTCTTATATTTTTTGTACCACGTAAGGTCCCCCAAAACTAGAAAATTTTTCTAGTGTATTCTTTTTTAAGTTCTTTTTTAAATTTTAATTGTGGTTCCAGCATAGTTTCCTATCTTTTACTCCCATCCCAGCGCCCCCAGTCCTCCCTACCTACTTCCCATTTCCACCCTGCCCCCCAGTTTTTGTCCATGTGTCCTTTATACTTGTTTCTGTAAACTGTTCCTCCTTTCCCCTGAAATTCCCTCCCCTCTATTCTATTCATTTCTCCAGACCACTGGCCCTTCTAATTTGATTGATTGGAACCAACAGAGAACCCTAAAATTAACATGACCGTGAGGCTGCACAAGCCCCAGCAAACAGGGTGGGGTTCCTGTCAGTCCTACTCTGAACCTTTTCCACTGCTCTCTGTGTCTGTCAAAACAACTGAATTGTAAGTCAAGTTGCTGCAGAGCATACTAGAAAAATCTCATAATATCTCTGAGACTAAATTCCAGGGGTCTGGGATGTTGCCCTAGAGAGGAGATAGACAGCCTAAAAACCTTTTTAAATTTTTAAAAGCTGTGACCAGGGAAAAATACTTTCCCTAAATGAGATAAGCCCACTCGCTAGAAGCCAAGTAAATATAACACTGAAGTCACACACACACACACACACACACACACACACACACACACACACACAAAACCAAGGTCCTAAGAATCTGTGCTCAAAACACTGCTAAGATTTGAAGATTGCCTTGTGGTTCTACAAGCTTACTTTTTAAATTGCTATTGTCTGCCTTTAATATGCTCAAGCACAAGCCAGTCTGTAGTTTGTTGCTTCATAAATAATATAAGCTTTAAATGAGCTGATGATCTGTGTTATTTTTTTCCCTCAGGTGAAGATGAACGTGCTGGCATCCAACAGGCAGTGCCACTGTGGTGTGTTTTATGCTTACATTAAATTGAGGGAACAAGAAATGAGAAACATCGTGTGGATTGCAAAATGCATCTCACAAAGATATTGGACTAAAATTAATAGCTACATTCCAACTCTGTAACCCAGCACAGGTCCTCAGATGCAGAAAAACCATAAATGTGAAGAGGAAGCTATTGAGGAAAATGAAAAGAATTGTGTTAGATTATCTAGGTTACACAGAAGGAAGCCACACAGCCCCTTTAGGAACTGCAGACCCTCTAGAAACACAGGAAACCAGCCCTGAAACCAAGTTCTCATTTTTCCTCTTGCAGCCTTAAATCTTGTTTCCATATTTGTGTCTCACTCTTCACCAGGCTTTAGGCATTAATCTTAATTAACCCTTTGGTACTTCCCCTATTTTTATTTTGTTGTGTTAAAAATCAAGTCTAATAAAATTGTTTTACTCCAGCTCTTCATTCTTCTCCATGGGCCCATATACTGTTTGTTTTACTTTTTAATTGTCAGTCCACAAAAATCCAGAGCTGTATGTAGTCCACTCAGACCACATGTGATTGGAAAAATTTCCTTTTTTCAAATACACTTTGATCTGGTAGTCTCAGAAGAGCTGCCAGTTTTGAATCAGATTCCCTGGATGCAAGTAATGTTAAATTTGTTATTGAGGCTACAACTAATAACTTATACTGCTTTCCCTAAACAAAAGATATAGCTCTTTCATGCTTTGAAAAAATACTCACTAACTGTATTTTACACACTGAGAAGCATAAATCACAAGGTCAATTTGTACCTCATGGATTCTCTATAAAACTTCAGTGGAAATGGTGCACAGAGCTGCCCAAAGAAAGAAAGGCAATACACACTACTCAAGTCCTTTCTTTCAAAATAAAAGAGGTTCCCAAATAGAAAATTCATTCTTGCTGTTGTAGGGGAGGAAGAAACTCTCCACTACCTTAAAATTCTGCTGGATGTTCTAATAATTACATAGACATGAGATAGATTAGCAAGAGAAAATAGCCAAATTTAATACATATGTGTATATGAGGATCCTGCATAAATGAGAGAATCAGAGAGAAAGGAGGATCTAGGTATAGAAGACACCCTGAGCTAGTGATGAGGTAAGTCACCTTAGGAGCTCCAAGGGTCATTGCAAGATGTTAAGAACAAAGTTTAGTAAATATAAGTTTGCCTTGCCGTTATAGGTGGATCAGAAAGAGATTATTGTTGATAATCTATTATGGGCAAAGCTCCTAATTCAAGTTCTAACTAGTTAAAGGGTGGCAGGGTTATAAATTTCTCTTGAGCCTGAAGCTAACATTGCCTTTAGCTTGAAACAATCCTTATACCATAGAGGCACATCTTGGGGTGGTTCACTCTGAACCCCCACAAGGGGTTTCATTAGTAATATGGGGTTTCATTAAGACTCTTAAGTCTACCACATAAAAGATACTGTCAACAATGTCAGATGTGCCAGACCTGGTGGAGTAGAAGATGCCATCATAGCAAAGACTGAAATGTTTGACACAATAGTCCTATAGAGAGCAAGATCAATAAAATGGCATTGGTCAAATCAAGATAGAATAAAGTATATAAAACAAAGTGAAGTCACTTATGTCAACTAAAATGACTGTCAGTCAGCAATGACACTTTGGTTTAACAGGAAAATTACCTAAGTCAGAGTAAACACATCTGGAAAGGAGACATATCTGCCCACATGGTCAGAGCAGAGACATCCGGCAAGGAGCCACATTTAAATATCTGCATCAGTGGTCAGAGCAGCTGTGTCTGCAGAGCGGGACCACTCATAGATGGTCTCCTGGGCAAATTCCACACTTGCCACCAGGAGTGCCAAGACATTTAGCAAAAAGGCCCAGAAGTATGGAGTACACCACTTTCAAGGTATAACTGAGAGGGGCTCCAGACCACTGCTGAGATAGCCAAGTTCCACACACCAGAGTGTTACTCCACACCACACTGATCTCCCTTGGCATCGGCTGCCAGAGGCTCTATGCTGCTGATCTCAGGATTTTGCCTGCCATGCTGCCCACCTGGCTCTGGAGATCCTTCCTTGCAAGATGCTGACAACTCCCTTGCCCACCGTGCTGTCTCCTGGACCTTAGACTGAGACTCTGGGACTCGAGTTCATTATGCCCCACTGATTGCTGTGTGTATTATATTTCTCTTAGATTGTTACACTGTGCATGTTGATGTTCTACTTTGAGTGAACCTGCATTCTATAAAAGCTGAGTGGATAGCATAGTTACTGTGTGTGACTCTTGCCTATTCCTTAGTGCTGGGCTACTCAGCAGGCAGCTAGCTGACCAGTTACCTGGCTGACTTATAGGAAAGACTGTATCATAAACATATGCATGTGACAAGTCCTGCCTCTCCTTGTTGGATTAATCTAATTCATTTTGAGTTATTTTCACTTCAGCAAATGGAAGCATTAATTCTTCTGTGTACCAAGTAGAGAGCTGCTCAGAGATGTGTGTGACATAAGAAGAGGGCATCAATCTTAGTGCTTTCAGCCCTGACATCTCCCAAGAGCAGAGACTAGGAGTTTTGGTGTCATTTTGGACTGCTATGTGGTTATAAAGTATACAAACTATAAATATAAAAACAGGGTGTAGTTGCCCTGGCTGGTCTGGCCTAGTGGACTGAGTGCCATACTGTGAAGCAAAGGGTCACCAGTTTGATTCCCAGTCAGGGCACATGCCTGGATTGCTGGCCAAGTCCCTGGTAGAGGGGGCATGAGGGCCAACCACACATTGATGTTTCCCTCCCTCCCTTTCTCTCTCCCTCCTCCTCTCTCTGAAAATAAATAAATATTAAAAAAAAATTTTTAAATAAAAACAGGGTATACAATACCCTGCAATATAGCTCAAACTACCTGTCCTCAGCAATTTCTTGCCCTCTTTCCTCTCAGTTACATCTTCATTATTCTGTCTGGCCTCCCACCAGTCTCTGTCACCCTGGCTCTAGTCCCCAGCCCCCACCACTAACAATTTACTTTTATAAATTATTAGAATAGTGACACAGACACAGGCCCGCAATGTCCATGGTGTTATGGATGAGACGAGATAAATTCACATGGACTACCAAGTCCTGTGGAGGAAAACGGACAGCACGGCTACTCTCTTAAGAGCACAGCACCCAAACCCTTGCCTTGACAAGCTTTTATTGGCTTTCTAATAGCATGCGTCAAAGAAGGTTTTCATTCATTATACTTAGGTTTGCTTTAGGTAATTACTTCTTACAGATAGCAACAGAAGGGATGTTACTGATTACTTCTTACAGATTAACAAGGAAAAAATGTTGCAAATGCAAGGGAATGATAAGAATAATTGGTCTGGTTACACTTCAGTCCTTGGGAGAATTAGCACGGACTTCAGGAAGTTACTTTAAAGATATGCAGTAAGCATTTGCTGCCTGAACTGAGGGTGAGAGAGTTTTAGCAAGAGCAAGTCACAAAGCAGCCTAAATAGAATGCAGGCCTAATTTCCCATGGGAGAACTTCTTCAAGGGCATGGTCCTGCTTGCCAACTTGCTCCCCATTGTTTTTCCACGTGGGTGCTGAGCTACATTTTCATGCCCTGCGAATTGGTTCCCTACAGAATAGTAGAAACACTACCTACTTTATTTAATGAGTTAATATATACCTGAACATTTGCTGGATATGAGGCATATCATGCTCTGTGTAACTGAGACTTCAAGTTGGAAATACATTTGCCAGTGTTCAACCCTCGGTGCCAAACACATAAAATTATTTGGAACGTCAGTTATAAGAGCTTTAGTTCATTAAGGTTTTAAATTTAAAACATAATAGCCAAGTTCTATTATGACATCTTAATGCCCATGACATATTGTGTTGGCCAAAATGTCCTTTATTTTCTTCTGTACGATGGCTATAGTAGTGCTTAGTTGTCTTTAACTTCATTCAAAATAATTTTGCTAGATTTTATTGTGACAGCTGTCATTTCAGCATGCATTTTTTAAAAATCAGCTTCTTTTTCAATGATGATATTACTAAAGATGGAACTGCCTTTTGACCTGGCAATTCTACTGCTAGGATTATATCATAAGAAACCTAAAACACCAATCCAAAAGAACCTATGCGTCCCAATGTTCATAGCAGCACAATTTATAATGCCAAGTGCTGGAGGCAACCTAAGTGCCCATCAGTAAATGAGTGGATCAAAAAACTATGGTACATTTGCACAAAGAAATACTATGCCACAGAGAAAAAGGAGCTCCTACCCATTGTGACAGCATGGATGGAACTAAAACCTAACACTTTCTTACCTCTATTTTTAAAATCTTCCATGGAATCCCATTGTATCTGAAAAAAATCAAAATTTCACTATGACCTACAAGGCTGAGAATGGTCTGCCCTTTCCTGCCTTGCCATTCTCTGGCTGACATGCCCCAGCCACTACCCTGCTCTCACTGGACCTTTTCACATTTCCAATACCCAGAATATGCTCCACTGGGGGTATATCCAGGTCCTTCTCTCTGCATGGACTGGATTTTCACATGGCTGGCTCCTTTCCTTTAGGTTTTGATGTAATCATATTGCCACATTGCCCCACTCCAGTGGGCACCTGTCCTATCATTGGAATTGTGCAATTTATAATGCCAAGTGCTGAAGGAAACCTGAATATACTGCATATTTACCTCCTCCCAGAGGTCCTCCAGGCTTAAGGGGGTGCCTTGTACTTGTCTCTATCAGACCACCCTGCTCTTTACCTCATAATTCTTATCAATTTGTAACCATACATGTGTTTGTTTGCTTGGAAACATTGACTTTACCCATCTAACTAAGGTCTATGAGAGTGCAAGATGTATTATTCTGATCATTTCTGTGTATTCAGTATTGGCACAGAGCCTGGTGTTCTGCAGCATTTAATATATGTCTGTCTAATGAATTAATGAACAAATCCTCTACCTGGAAGATTCTATGATTCAAATCAAAGAATTGGTCAAAGAGAAACTGAGGCATATTTAAAAATTTAAGAGTTTGTATGAGCAAAAAACTATTCTAGATAGGCAGCTCCAACCAGAAGTAGTTAGAAGTGCCCTGCAAACAAGAGTGAGGGAGAAAGATGTTTCTAGAGAAAAGGCAGAGAC